TATTAAAAGAAATACATTTATATGATGTGACCAAATTGAAGAGATCTGCAACAGACTAGATTTACAAAGCTCACATTGACTTAAAGAGAACTTTCATAGAAGCAGAAAGTCTATGTTATCAAATCGATATTTGTAAAACTTAGCAGACTTTTTCATATTCATCGGTATGAAAAATACAATATATTGAGGACTTTTACTACTCATTAACACTCTGCAAGCATATAGCCTCAAAGAACAGCAAATTCATTCGTGTGACACCTTATAAAGCAAGCTGATTTTTATAATTATTTCTAAATATTCATACTTCTTTTTCAATTATCTGAGAAAAGGTTTTCTCTGCTTCAATTAAGTATGTTAAATTGAAAAAAAAAAAAAAGTATGTTAAATTGAAACAGAAAATGTTCCCTAAGTAAAGTATGTTTTATAGAAAACTCCTTCTTCTTTTCTGTAAGTGTAGTGATCAATATGATTGGTTCCTGAACATTCCTTTCATTTGAAAGGATTGAAATAAGTAAACTGGCATCCCCTTTCCCTTCCCTTCCAAGAATAGGGCATGGAATCGATAAATTTCTGGCCAATGAGATGTAAAGGAAGGTTCTATAAAAGTTTTTCTTGTTTCTAAGGAAGACACATAGATAAACAATGACCCTTTCCCCCTTTTATATTTCTTTGTCTCTGTGTGAACCTTTAATGATGTATCAATCTTGTAACGAACCTAAGAATTATGCTAACACTAAGAAAGACAAAAAGAGCCAGGAAGTACTGAGTCCCTGCTAACAGTCATCTGAACTCTAGACTTCATTTTTATTCTGTAATATAATAAATTTATGTAATCTATATCTTTAGCCTTTTATTGAATTAGTTACTTTGAGATAGGGTTTTCGTTTTGTCCATGCCTGAGCCTGCCTGGAATATAATTTTCCTATTTTACACTCCTGCAGAAAATGAAATGTCTTGTGTGCATGCCACCAGGCTCAGCTTCCTCCAAGGAAAGAGTCTTGCTAACTGTTTTTGTTGTTGATGATGTTCTTTGTTGGCTTGGAGATATGATCATTTTCATTTCAGCACCCAGGTAGTTGGGAGGACAGGTGTGTGGCATTTGCCCAACCATAGCTTGAGAAAAGATCACTTGAACTTTTATTCTGGAATGGCCTCAAAATGTGATCCTCCTGATCTCAGTTCCCACAAGTAGCTAGGATTTAAATACAGGAGCCATCACACCATGCTAAGCATTTAATTTGGAAATGATAACTCAGATAATCACTATGTGCAGAGTAGATGGGAAAAAGAAGAAAAATGTGATTGAAAATGTTTCTCTCCTGCACTTGAGGAGTATATTGAACTGTTTACCACCTAGCAGCTGGGCCTGTAAACAGAGGCTTTCTCTGGAACAGCATTCTCCCTTGTAATACTGTTTCCTAGCATCCCTCTCACAGATGCTGATGCCTAAACACTTTCCACTAAAACTTTGCAAGCAATCTTCATTTCAGAGTTGGTTTCTGGAGTAACTCAGCCTGTAACATTAGTGTAGGTAGTGGTATGTAGAGTTCTAGATCCATGCCCTTCCCTCATCACATCTGGCTCCTCTTATTGCTCTATTCTGTTCCAGTATGCAGGGAAGGGAAGGACAGATCAGTGTACATTCTGTCACTTCAATGGATCCCAGAAAGGAGTCACATGATGTGCTCTAACTAGAGAGATCTTATGGACAGATTTGGAAAAGCCAGATTAAAGTATAAGCTATAACATTTTCTTGATATAATGTCTGTTTATTCTTGCCTCCAAATTTGTTAGTCCCTACAGAAATAACCTTTCCCCTAGGAAAGAAAAATTAGAATCTCAATTATCTTATCTAAATGCCAGACAGTTTTAAAATACCAAAAAGGCAGGGAAACAAACAAACAAAACACAAAAGAAGTTTACGTTTCATTTTCTAAATCGTGGAGTGCTCCAAAAGATCTAATTAATTCTCTCTGTGTGTAGTCATGTATTGGGCAAATATTTATTAAAGGTATCTTTTCACTTTCCATCATTCACTTAACTAGACTGAAAATCTAGTTTGAATTAGAGTAAACATAATAAGGGTATTATTGGATATGTTTCACCGAATTTGTTTTGTAAAAGGTTTTGCTACATTTTCAGTTGATTCCATACTGCATGTCTGAGGTAAATGATGATAATGGAATGATGTCTACTCTTTCAATAAACACAGCTTGGTGTGTACAAAAAGTACACAGACACATATCCTAAATTTCACTTACTTAAATCAAGTACCAGGGATTGGGGGTGGTATGGAATTGACAAGCAGACACTCATTACTTAATTACATGTTGTGGATTGTCTGAACTGTAACAACTACAACCCATCAGTCCCAAGCATGGCTTCTTCCACTGGAATTTGGATCTTTGCCGAGGGAAATTGAGCCAAGGCAAACTGAGTGGGTCTAAAAACCCCTAAAGTACTATATCTTGACACTTACTGGCTACTATGGAGTCCCTTTTAGCAGTGGGGCGATTTATATCAACTGAAATGGTGGATACCTTCCACAAACACTAACTGTTAAATTTGCGTATTTGACTCCTGTATGAGTTACCAAGTAAACTGAATATAAAGAAATCTCAGTTACATAGAAAATCAAATTGTGTTATGTTATCAAGTAAATTTATATCTAAAACATAGATTGATATTTCATGAACATTTACTTCATTAAATAGTAGCACATTTTAAGTATGGCTTATAGCCAAAAAGAGATTTGTTTAGTCAGTCACAGAAGGAAGTTAATGTTATCGAACTTATTTTCAACAATGATCTAATACACACAACTCAGATAAACTTTTTTCTTCCAATCCTAGAAGGTAAAGAAGAGGAACAAGAACAAATTCCCTTAAAAGTGTAAATTGCTTTGTACAATTACAGTAAAATGGAGATACATTTGGAAAAATCATTTTAACAAACACAATTCCTTAAAATATAAAACTTAAAGATAACTATTTTCTTTAGCTTCTTTTGTAAAACATTTTAACTTCTACTAAGATATTTACTCACAATTGATGTTTGATACTACTAGTTGGCACTCCTAAGAATATGAGTATGATTTAGAAAAATTTTGGAAGGAGAAATACAATTTAAAAACATAGAAAATTGAGTTACAGTGTCAGCAAAGAGAATGTTTTCAGTTTCTAACCAATATTTAATTGCTCTAAATAACTTAGAAGCTGTCTTTAATTTTTGAAGATAATTTCTAAATACTTTAAGTAATCTTAAGTTCACAAAGAACAACTGTTTCTTTGTATTCTAGAAGTAGAGATTATATAAGCACATGCATATCTACTTGAATTTAATTGTTTTCTTTAAATCTATGCATTCCAAAAATAACTCCTATCTCTTGGTATATGTATGAAAAAAACTACTTAAAATTAAATGATTAACAATTAAAGATCTGTCTTAATTCAAGGATTAACTGGGCAGTATTAACACATGAAGACATAAATATTTCTATGAAGATTCAAATCCTGAGAAAAAGCAACATTCAGATAACCGAGCAACGGGTGTTTAGGCCTGGATGTATTTCATAATTAGAGAGTTAAGTGAAAGTGACGATTGTAGATGGATTCTCTGAGTTCCTAGGAGAACTCTTTTTAAACAGGAAGAACTCTTGACCTAAACCTTAGAATGTCCCTTAGTGTTTCTTTTTCAATGTTTCTGTAAGAGGAGATAAATAAACAAAAATAGCAATGCTTCATAGATGCAGAATAGGTCATATATGATGTCATTTCATAAGTTATCTAATCCCTTCCAGTTTTGCTGTCTCCTTGAGCAGACATTGATTTTTACTGAAGCTAATGATAACTGATAATGCCTAATGGGTGGTCCCTTTCCTTCGACTTTCATGCTGCTGGTCAAAAACAGGAAATGGTAGTAATTGCTTTTAGGACTTTGAATATAACACTTAGAATTTTTAAAATTTAATTTAAACCTGTTTTAAATTGACACATAAAAGCATTATAGTTGTGCAGTTGTTTCTTTTATTATACTAAAATAAGGATTTTTTAAAAACCTGGCTTCCTAATCTTTTGTGAAGGTAATTTGGTTCATAGATAGCTCTTCAAATTGGTATGTCTGTGGGGTGATCGTTGCTGAAGGACTATACTCAGCCTTCAACTTTTGTGGACTCTCTATATTTATTTTCACTTCTTTATAAATTATACTTATATTTATTTATAAATGATTATTTATATATTTATTTTTAAATTTTGCCAGTTGTGGGGTTTAAAGTTGCCTAGTCAATTTTTGATCATGGCTGGCACTCTAATAATTGAGCCATGCGTCTAGTCTGGCTTTTGCTGACTTATTATTGTGGACTTTTGCAAAGTTTTCTCTGTTTGGGTTAGTTTTTCATTGTGATTTTTTCATTTCCACTTCCAGATTAGCTAGGATTACAAACATAAACCACTGGCGCTCAATTTATATTTCAACATTAAAATTGTTCCTAATGAAACCATAGTAGGGGCATATATGTTTCACTAACCCCAAATCACTGGACTTTAGAAGAAACTTGTTCAGATATGAAATGAAAATGTGAAACAAAGATATGTTTTTCCAATGCTATTATAACTCACAACCATAGTACACATGTCAATAATGCTTATTTGTTCATTAAAAATTACTGAAAATTTAACTTTATATTGCTGAAATATTTACTTATTCTTGAAAAATAATTCACTTTGCATTTCTTCAATAGAAATGTTTGCATTTTTATTCAGTAAATACATAGTTGATGCTTTTCATTTATATTTTCAAAGGTTGTTTTAGTATTGTACTCATTGATTCAATAGAGCTTTCATATATACTCAAATTCATGAAAATTTAAAATGTGTCATCTAGGCAGTAATTATTTCTGACACAGAAAATTGAGTGGATTTTGATAGAGTCACTCCACACCAAGAGAATACATAAAATTAAATAGCTTTAGTTGTTGATATATATTTAAGTACACTGACCTTTTTAAAATTTTTGTTTATGTCAACCAGACTGAGCAGAAAGATGTGGTCCTTGGCTCCTAGAAGAAGCCTGCCCCTCTCCTCATCTAATAGAAGAGTTTGGAAATCCAGTCCTTCTGGTGAACCCAAAAACGGAATACAGCTATTTGAAAGCAGCAAGTCTATGGCAAAATAAAAGAAGGAAAGAAAAAACAAATCATTATGCAAAATATTTACTTGCTTCAATTTGTAAATTATCCCACTTTATAAAAGTTGATTATAATTGCAATTTAGATAAATGCAAACAACTAGGGCATAATATATACTCATTAAGAAATAAGTAACACATTTCAATTGTATTTTATTAATACTATTTTATGTGTAAAATATGATTCTGAAATGAATATAAAATGTGTAAATACAAAAGTAAAATTCAAAGTACCTCCAAACAATGTCCTTATTCTTATAATTTGAAGAACCTAACTTTAATAATATTTGAACACTGACAAAATAATGAATACTGTAATAGAAAGTTTCAAACTGTCACAAATGTCACAGCATTCTTCCCTTTTTCTTTGGTATGTTTTTTATTGTAAAAATGCTGTACAGAGGGGTTACAGTTATATGACAAAAGTAATGAGTACATTTCCTATTGAACATTTTGCCTCCTCCTTTAGTTTTCCCCCTACCATCCCTTCCCTCCCATCTCCACAACAACTCCCCACCCTCCCACTCCCCCCACCCCCCTGAACTAGTAAAGTTCATTTTCAACATAGTGTTTTGTACATCCCATTGTTACAATGGGTCAACCTGTATCCTTATTTAAGCATTTTGTTTTTTTCCTTCCCTTCCCCAAATTAGAGAAGTGTATATACAAGATGCAGGGCACTTGTTATACCATGGGGGAGGAACATATAAAGAAACAAAAAAAAATCACATGGTACATTATAAATACATTAAAAACAATAGCAAGAAAGAAAAAAGATATTTGAGTCCCTATCTTGGGGTTCATTTCACTTAACACCATCTTATATGGTCATATGTACATAGTTTTTGGCCTTTTATACCTGACCTATACATGTACTAGCTATTGCAAATAAGGGAAACCAAGGGACCTATGTTTCTTTGGGCCTGGCTTACTTCACTTAATATAATTTTTCCGTCTTTCCATTCCCTAACAAATGGGGCAATGTCATTCTTTCTGATGGAGGCATAGAATTCTATTGTGTATATATACCACATTTTCTTGATACATTCATCTACTGAGGGGCATCTGGGTTTGTTCCATATCTTAGCTATGGTAAATAATGCTGCGATAAACATAGGCTGGTAGCCTTAGTATAGCCTTGTTTGTGATCTTTTGGGTAAATGCCTAAAAGTGGGATTGCTGGGTCATAGGGGAGCTTTATGTGGATTGTTTGGAGGAACCTCTATACTGCTTTCCAAAGTGGTTGAACAAGTTTACATTCCCACCAACAATGCTGTAGGGATCGCTTCTGGCCACATCCCCTCCAGCATATTTTGCTTTTAGAGCTCTTGATTATAGCCATTCTAACTGGGATGAGGTAGAATCTCAATGTTGTTTTGATTTGCATTTCTTTTATGGCTAGAGAGGTTGAGCATTTCTTCATGTGTCTATTGGCAATTCTTACTTCCTCTTCAGAGAAGTTTCTCTGTAAATCTTTAGCCCACTTATTCATCAGGCAGTTGTTTCTTTAAGGATTTGTTGTTGGGGGATTTAATTTTTTGAGTTCCAGATATATTTTAGATATGAGAGCCTTGTCCGTTGTATGGCTAATGAAGATCTCCCAATCTGTGGGCTTTGTATTGATCTTGCTAGCTATGTCTTTTGCCATGCAGAAGCTCTGCAGCTTCATAAAATACCATTTTTGATTTGTTGTGTTTCTCGGCCTGTACCAAGGAGACCTAGGGTTTCTTCTATTCCTTCCTCTAATGTCTTCAAGGTGTCTGCTTTGACTCCGAGGTCTTTGATCCATTTGGAATTGATTCTGGTGCAGGGTGATATATAAGGATCTAGCTTTAGTTTTCTAAAGGTGAATAACCAATTTTGCCAGCACCATTTACTGAAGAGGCTGTCTTTCTTCCAGTCTATTTTTTTAGTTCCCTTATCAAAGATTAGGTGCCTACAAGTCTGTGGGTTCATTTCTGGGTTTTCAGTTCTATTCCATTGGTCCTCAGGTCTGTTCTTGTGCCAGTACCAAGCTGTTTTGATTACTATGGCTATTTAGTAGAGTTTGAAATTTGGTATTGATATTCCTCCAGCAGTGTTCTTTTTGTTAAGGATCGTTTTTGTGATTTGGGGCCTTTTTTTTGTTCCATATGAATTTTTGGATTGCTTCTTCTATTTCAGTGAAGAATGAGGTTGGAATATTGATAGGCATCACATTAAATTTGTAGATAGCCTTGGGAAGTATTGCCATTTTAACGATGTTGAGCTTTCCAATCCAGGAGCATGGGAGTTTTTTCCACTTCCTAAGTTCTGCTTTGATTTCCTTTTTTAAGTTTTTAAAGTTTTCATTGTAAAGGTCCTTCACTTCTTTAGTTAATTCCATTTTTATTTGAAACATTATTTTACTTTTTTCATTTTACTTTTTAGAAAAGTTTTAGATTAACAGTCATACTGAGAAGAAAATATCAACATGCATTGACTCCCTGCCCCAACACTTGCATAGCTTTCCCTATTATCAACAGCATTCCACCAAACATGGTGTAATTGTTATAATCAATAAACCCACAATAGCACAGCAATACCATTCAAAGTCCACAGTGCTTTTAGAGTTTATTCTTCATGCTTGATATTTTATGCATTGGATAAAGTTTTAATGACAGTATCACTATATAATACAGGATCACTCATTTCCTTAAAGATCCTTTATGATCTCACTCTTAATTCATCTTACCTTTTCAAGTTACTGACATTCATTCATCCTTTTTGACTGTGCATAGTTTTGCCATGTTAGGATGTTGTATAGTTGGAATCATATGGTATCTAGAATTTTCATTCTTGCTTCTTTCATTAGCAACACGTATTTAAGTTCACTTTATGTTTTCATGTTTTAATAGTTTAGTTCTTTTGTTTATTATATTATCATTCTTTTTTGTGTGACAGTCCTGGGTGCTGTCTCTGAGCTTTGTTGTTCATGGCTAGTGCTCTATCACTTGAACCAAAGTTCTACTTCTAGCTTTTGGGTAGTTTCATTGAAGACAGTTCACAGACTTTCCTCTGTGGGCTAGATTCAAAGTGTGATTCTCAGATCTCAACCTCGTAAGTGGTTACTGGTGTGAGCCAATGGTGCCCAAATGTTCACTTTTTAATTTTTTTATTCTTATTAATAACTTTTTTATTGTGGAAATAAGTTTTAACAATGATGAGTGAATGCATTGTAAACATATTAGTATTTTTTTATTTATTTATTTAGTTAGTTTATATATTTAGGTAGTCTATTTATTTTGTGCTGGTTTAGGCACTGGCTCTACCACTTTAGCCACATTTTTAGTCTGGAAGTTTTGCAGGATGTTTGGCAATAGTCAGTTTCAGACATTTTTGTCTGTGTTGGTCTCAAACCATGATCTTCAATTCTCAGCCCTCTCAGTAGATAGGATTCTAGGTATGAACTACCTGCCCCCGGTCACATGTAGGTTTTTATGCATATAAATTTTTCTAAGAAGCCATGAGCTGTGTTCCTAAATGTCTGTGCCATTTTGCATTTCTAAAAGCCATTAACAAGTGATCCTGTTGTGCTGTAACTTTTTTGAATTTAGTATTATCAGTAGTTCAGGTTTTGGCCATTCTAATACATATGTACTGGTACCATAAGTTGTATTTCCTGAAGACTGATTGTATGGAGTATCTTCTCATATGCTTATTTGTTATTTGCATCTTTTCTTTTGTGAAGTCATGTGAAAGGTCTTCAACCTATATTTTAAATTTGTTATTTGTTTTCTTATTGCTTACTTTTTTCCCCCTCTGTTACTCTGTATTTTTTCATTGTGAAAATACCGTACAGAGGGGTTACAATTACATGAGCAAGGTAATGAGCACATTTCTTATCAAGCATTGTTGCCTCCTCCTTTGTTTCCCCTTACCATTCCTGACCTCCCATATCCCTCCCCTTCCCCACCAAATTTGTAAAGTTTTTTTTTGACATAACGTCTTGTACATCTCATTGTTGCAATGGTTCCACCTGTAACCCTATTTAAACAATTTGTTTTTTCCCTTCCCCTCAAACCCTAATACAATAAAAAGGCTATTACACATCACAAGAATTTAAAACATTATATAAAATAACTATTAATTGTTGAAGTAAAAGTAGATGCCCTCAGGATAGACATAAAAGTATTTCTAAATCTATGCAAAGTTCAATTTCTGTAAAATAGGCCTTCCAGTTCCTTACTAGACTATAGATTATCTCTACCAAATGTAGATTTACAATTTTTTCATATTTTCTTATTGTCTTTACATGTTCTCTGGTTATCAAAGAATAAGTCTTATTTTTCACAGTTTGGGAACTAGAAACTATGTCTCAGTTTTGACAAACTGAAAGGCAGTATGCTGAAAATGTTGATATTCCTGCTATTCTCTAATTAAGCGTTTTTTTTTAATCTGTGTATGTGTGTATGTGTATGTGTGTATCATGGGCTATGTACACTCGATGGAACAATGAACTCTAGACTAACTTTCTATTAAGCTAAATATGTCTTTAATCATTTTTAGAGTATAGACATGTTAATACACTTTTGATCAGATCTAAATGTAGTAATCTTATTTTTTTCAGGGATAATACTCAACAAACATTCCATACTGGTTGTTAGTAGAACTGAGTAAAATGAACGGAGCCAAGGGAACAGCTGCAGTAGGTATGATTAAGGTTTCAGTAGGAGGATATGTTTCACACAAATCTTCATTGAATACAGTAACTCTGTATCTTCAATGGGATTTTAAAAATTTAACCAAGATAGAAATGGGAAAAAATGAAAGCATCAGAGGATTTCAGGAGTCATTTTCATCAAACCAAAAATGGAAAGTAGTTTATATGATATAAATCCTTATTATTATGTGTCTGAGGATGTTAATTATGTATATTTCAGTATAAATTCCAAATGATTTATAACTTAGTCTTGTAAGAGTGTACAGCTTAGGTCCAGATTACGATGGTTCACA